TTTGTTGAAACGTTATTTCTATACAGTAATAATTAGTTTACCATTGTCATCGTCCATAATGTTGAAAGCTTCCTCCATTATCTTATTAATTAGACTTTTCGCAAATGCCTCAATCATTATTTGAGGCATCCTCAGCTTGGTAAGAATCTGAAGTTACTGCTGCCAGTACGTATTAAACGATTGCCTTATGTCTTTTTATGTGTCATTGGTAAATATACGATTACTTCATACCTTTATCGTAAACCATTGAAGTAGGTTATTGGTGATTTACAAATTAGTATGTTTATAAAAATAGAATATATGTGGTTGAACATAAGTCGTTATAAACTAGTATGACTACACGATATTTTCAAAATACTTGAAAAAGTCAATTATTGGATCGTAACATGCAAAAATATTTAATAACGAAACTTTGAAATCTTTCCATTTGTTCATATTTATTATTATAACCCTTTCACGCGAAATACTCGTTATGAGAATAATTCGATAGGATTTTTAGGCACATTCACACGTCAACTACTTTTTTTTCTAATTTCGAAGACAGAATGTCCTGGATACTGAGTGTATGTGTAAACAAACTCTTAATTTATATCAGTACTGTTTAACCGTCATCTGTTAACGAAATTACGAGTAAATGTAACATAAATATGGAAGAATATCTATGCACAATGAATCATGGTAAAGTGACTTTAAAGAAACTTTTAGATAGTTTCGGAAACTTTGGCCTGAAAACTGTCATTCATCGTTGAAAATTAATTACTGCTGATACATTACCATTTCGAATGACTTTCCAAGTATTCTACCTGAAAGCTGCTATCAGTTAAACAAACAATTTATTCTCATAGTTAACCTGTACAAATGTCTGGCGCATTCAAGTAACAGTGAAATTGCCGACATGAAAATGGCTACGCATACATTTTAATAGAACAGTTAGCGGAATCCTTCCAGTGGAATAATAAACAATAACAACAATGATTTGTAAATCATAAAATTAACCTGCAATGGAGAATCTGACAAGAGTTGTATCTTTTGTATCTTCTTATTAATTTATTAGAGACCTACATTAAAATAGCTTTCTCTTCGAAAAATGGATGGAAGTAAATACGTTGAAGTAACTATCACCGATCCTGACGTCGAAGTTCCAGTATCCGACACTCAACATATACATTCCGCCTTAAGCACGATTCAAGAATACGATAATTCGAACATTCCTCAATTATCTCTCGTAAATTTATTCCCAGGACACGTTCAGAACTCCAAAAGTTTCAAATCTGATGACATATTTTCTAAATCATCGGAAGAGAACAAAATTTCAATTCAACCATTTGACATTGATCTGCTTTTGAGGTACTACGCGTGCAATTCGAGTATGGAGAAATCGATAAACAAAATGTTCGAAGCGACAGGAGACAGAGGTGTACGTTATTCGCGTGATCTATTTACTAATCAAGTATGCAAAGACGTAGATCGAGGCTCATTAGTGGAATTGGGCGCAGTTTATAGAGTGTTCAATCTACTTCAACGAGAGTCTTTCGGAAATATTTTATCGTTCGTCACTCCGTTCCGTGACGCCGCAATCAAGTTACAATCTCTGTTGAGGAGATACAGTAACAATGAACTGGAACAGATTTTCGCGAGCGATCCGTCAATAAAAATCTGCAAGTATTGCGGGGTAATCAGTTGCTCGAATAAAACAAGCGAATCGATCGGATCGCGGCGATCGCCGCCTAGAACATCTTACTTTTTGAATACGCAGACCCTTTCAGACAACACGAACAGAAACAACGGCTCGGAATTATGCAGAGCTACAGAGAAGTTCGATACACAGAAACCGTTATCAACGAAGCGTATCGGGAAGTATTACAACTCGCGAAAGAATATAACTTCTGGTTACAAACGGCTCGATAACCGAAGAAGCGATAACTCGACTGACAGGAGTTCAACCGATAAACATGACGACAAAATTCCTTCTCAACAAGTTGAAATTATGATCGCTGAACGCGAGGATGTTGCAGATACAGCGAAGTCTGTGCAAAATGTGGCGAGCGAACAAATTTCAGAGAACAAGAAGACTTTACGAAACCAAATGAGTAGTTTACAAAGATCAGAACCATCGTCCATTAAAGCAGAAAAATTTACAGTGGAAAATTGTAATGTGGCTGATGACACAGAGAAAAAGTTGAATGAAAACGATGCGATGGTTGCTCGCGTTGCTGACGTGACAACCTCAGTTTACGCTGAATTGTTCAAACTGCACAATAATAAGGACTTGACTTCACTTGTCGATGATAGTGTGTCACGTAAAAAGCGAACACACGAACCAGTGATAAGAAGCCAGCGAAGCATCGATGAAACTAGTGAAAAATTCGTGAAAGATATTTTATATGAACAGTCGGGAACAGATGACTCTAAATTCAAAATTGACAAGCAGCATAAAAATATTCAGGGTGCGAAAGATTCTCACGAAGTTGATTCAATCATTAATACAATGACGTATTTGGCACACAGTCGTCTCGGTTCGGCAGACACGAAACAAGACGAATTCGTTTCGCAACTGAATGACAGAGCTCGGATAAAGTCTAGAGCCTCTAACAATAGACGTCGCTTTATTTTACATGCCAGTCGGGATTGTAATCCGCAATTAGATTCAGCGTTTGATATGCACAACGAATTGAAAAATTCGGGTGGCGGCGTGCGTGGAAATAAATGCGAAAATTTCGAACATCTCTCTAGAAGCAATGAACAGTCAACGAGTCTTAGTTGTTTAATGGAAGATGATTCCCTAGAAAATATTTCCAGAGCATTCAGTCCGCCAGTAAACTCGGATCAAAGCGTCAGTTCCTCTTCCGCGGAGAACATGATACGTGAATGGATGAAATGTCCGCGAACGAAAAGCGAAAGCAGTTCCCGCATTGATAATTGCGGAATAACGGTCAGTTCAACGCCTCTTATAATTGGATTAGACGTTAAACTGCAAACACCGGGTACCAATGATAAATGCGTGTATTGTACGCAGACTTCCATTGACAAACATGTTCTTCAACACAAAGATTCAACTGGCACAAGGGTAAAAGATGCATTATTATCTTCAAACGTTCAAAAAGACAATGAGCTTTCAACTGCACAGGTGTCACAAGTAACCAGTGAGAATTCAAGGCACGACATCAGTCAGGATTCAATAAGCGACAATGTGAAGAAGAGAAGGTCTAAAGGAAGCCTCGGAAGTAAAAAGTTCAGTATAAAGCAGATACTAGGATCCTTGAAACCGATGAAGCTCAAGCAGAGCAAGACGAACTCGAAATTTTCGACACTGTCTGAAAAAAATTCATCGAATGGTTCCATTAAAAACGTCACACGGCGCATCAGTTACAACGAATCGTTCTTGAAGAGTTTGATCAAGGACGATGAAGAATGCGACGAGGTTGCTGATACTTTACTACTGTATCGCAAGATCCTCGAAGGCACGGAAGAAATGGACTGGGAGGATTTCCAGCGATTCATTGAGAAATTACACTCCAGTCAGAAGGATCTCTGGCGCGACATTTGCAGCGCCATTAATAACGAAGCGAAAAGGTTGGCCGATAAGGGCGACGGCACGACGGAAGTGTGTATAGAAATCAGTTCCGTTCACTGCAAAGGGACAAAGCAAGGGGAAAGATCGTGCGGCAACGAGATCGTGTTCGAGATGGACATGACGCTCGGAGACCTCGAGAGGTTTCTTGATAGGAAGCTGGCTTCTACTAAGAAAAGGCAACTTGACACCTTCCGGAGAGCCAGTGAAGTTATTAGAGTTCGAAATGATGACGTTTGTGATACTAAAGTGGTCTCCAATCAAGCTGAGTAGTCTGTGCTCCTTTCTAGTCACTTTACGTGTATGTAATTTGAATTTTTCTTCTTTATGTCTCTGTCGTCTTATGTTTGAGTTACTCACTACTAAAAGCGATTAACTGCGTTTGAATATTTTTTAATTTCATTTGTCGTAACGTCGATGGCTTTATGTGTATAGTTTCATAAAGTTTGTTTTTCGGTGTTTAGGGTTAGTCATTTTGTCAACTGTATGACTCATTTGTTACTCTGCTTTTTTTGTAAGAAAGTCTCTAATTTTGAATATGTCGAAATTGTTTTATTGCTTGAGGTTTTTTTCTGGTCTATAAATATTTCTTAAGCTACTCTTGGAATTTTTTTAAAGAATTTGATAAATATATATACTTAAATTTATAAATTTATAAATAGATTTATAAAGGAATTGATTATAATAATACAATATAATATAATACAATATTACACCATATATAGTACAATATATTTATAATAATAAATTTATTATCATTAATATATTTATTTATTTATTATGTATAGATATAATTTATTTGTATACTACTATTCACGTACACATTTATTATTTTATATATACATATAAACAGTTTTACAATGCCAAGTTATTCGTCATTGTCAATTGCAGCAATTATGGAATTCCTCGTCATTAGAGATGTGTCAAAGATTTGTCACACTTCCTTTGGTTAAAAGTCAATAAATCAATAACAGTTCTATTCTTCACAAGTCATTTATAATGTTGATATTGAAATATCATCGTTCTATAAAAGAATCTGCTAAAATTACATACAATTAAAGCGCTCGTTAGCTGATCTTACTGTATATTTCTATTTTGACAATTCATTTAAAGTACACTGGTTAATTTTAACTTTTAGTGAAATTAATACTAACATGAAATTTAGTTTGGTGTACAGTGACATGATGATACTTTCAATGACACAGATAAATGAAACGCAGTAAATAATATAACCAAGTCGATAAAAGACCAAGTGTGACAGTGCTAAGTTTAGATGTACATGAATATAGGAAGGAGGAAATCTACTATACCATTATAATCTATCCTATTGAGTCGAAAGCACGACAAATGCTCGCATATCCGAAGAATTTTTTAATTTATGTCTCTCAGGAACGAACATAGCAACAAGAAATCGTTATTCCATAGTTAAATGCTAATACAGTAAACTCATATCATGTTAAAATCAAGTAATGTAAGTTAAGCTATACAATAAAGATTTCTTGTTGCTAAGTTTTGCTCACATGGTAATGTGATTGGTAATTTCCTCCAATAAATATATAATAATTACTCTATTAACGAAAATGCAGAGACTCTTCACCAGAGAATGCCGGTAGCAGACTGTATTTACACCCGACGAGCCAGGAAGCGAGAATCCTTGTATCAAGACTACGGTTGCCAAAATATTAGGGCAGATACAGTGAACATTGAATAATTGAGACACTCAACAGGACCGGATGGTTGCAATTATGAACAGGTAGAATCGAATTGATCCCAGGGAACGAAGATTTTAGCATGGCGAACATAGAAGAAGACAAAGTTAGTGAAGGAAAAAGAAAGACTGAGAGTCGAAGCGTTCGGCAACATTAAAGGCTCGCGATGAGCTTTTTGATTTTTGATTTTTGACTTTTGACGAATGAAACTTTCACCATCGTGTTTGTTATGTTTTTCTGATTAAAATAACACTAAACGCGATAGAATTACGATCGTAATTGCTTGTATAATATGCGATTGAAATTTTGAATATAGAAAAGGACTGCGAATAGGAAAGAAAATACCGTTGAAACAGTCGGATCATGTTACACGCTTCAACCGCGATCGGTTGTCGAGCACTGTGGTGTGTTGAAAATAACTGGGTAGGAATGACAACGTTTCAATTATCCAATGTTCACTGCATTTTCATTTGGTACAGCAGTTTTTAGACTTACTTTGGGAATTTGTTTTTTAATCTGGTTGCTAGTTTTTGTTGATTACTTACACATAAGTTTACTAATATCTGAACTATATTATGAATTTCTTTTAAGTCAAAATATGAGAAAGTTTAGGAATTACACGTTTTTAAATAAAGTCATTTTCAAAGATCATGTCTCAATGGTTGTTACAATTCCGGCTGTTGTATTGAATGGAAACAAGAAGACTGTGATTGTACTTATTATTAATGTGGTTATAGCCCCTAATGAACTAAAATATCTTGTTCCAAGAAAGAGTAGCAATTTATAGTTCAAGTTGCCATTTTTTAGTCACTTTTTTCTTGTTTTTAGCATAATAAAGAATTACGTATCTTGTATTTCTTTACGTGAATAATTTATAAATTTTGTTATATTATTCCTGGCACAAAGTGTCTGAACATATATGTTTACTTATTTGTAAAATAAAGAATTAAACATTGAGCACCGATTCGTGGAAACGATCGATCGCCAGCAAACATTGAAGTTTTCCGAGAAACCCTATAGTTATTTCCTCCTTTCGCGGTATTAAAAATGACCCAATTCTTTATCATATATTTATATACACGTGTATGTTATTATTTTTATATCTTATAAAGAATAACGAAGCAGAACTAAAGAATATTTCATTAATATCCCTTTCGGAAATTGTCAATGTTTCTATTCTGTTTCACTGATACACGTACAATATAATTTTTTTTAAGTTGTACATTTATATAATTCGAATTTTAACATAATCAATAGAAATCATTTGTTGCATTCTTTTCAGAACAATGGCGACTACGTGTATACTTACATTGCATATATGTTTGAAATTAGAAGGACGTGGGAGGAGAGATTAATCAGAACATGTATTTACATAAGTCATTACACTAATCAAGGTCAGCACAGATTGCTAAAAAGTAATGTTATAATTTGTACAACTTCGACAATGAAATCTAAATGTGTTGAATTCACAGGTTCCACAAATTTATTTGAATATATGTACCTTCAGAGGTTACGTTCGCAATTTTAATCGAATACACTCTGCCAGCTGCAGCATTACAAATAGACCGTTGAATTTTATGCAAAATTTCAGGAAGATGTTCAAGAAAAGAAGAATGAAGTGGAAATTAACTTGGTCTCTTAAAATTTTAATTAGTCAAAAGTAGGATAACTGAATTCTTAAACTTATATTTGTCATAAATGTATGAAAACCGCAGTTTAATTACAAGTTTATATTTTCCGTGTAAGAATCCCTTGATAACAATATAATACCTACACTGGACTGCATTAAACAAGAAGTGGAAAGTATGACTGCGAAAACGTATATATTTCGATTACGAATTTTTATGTAAATTTACATGTACATACAGATTATTTCTAATAAACCGCAATAAGAGAGAGCATATTGTATAGAAACTTTTTATTCTATTTCATACTCATTTCTGTTGTATACACATAAAATCTGTAGTTACGTCTTATTGTGTCAGAGGACCTTGTTAACAATAAGATACATTGGATCATCGAGTATCGCAGTATTCCGGAAAAGTGAAAGGTAGGTTTAACAAAGAAATAGATTGCTAAAGTTATATCTAAGTTAGACATTTCTAAAAAAATCACTCAGAGTCATTAGCACGTTTTCTTGCGTTTCCCACCCTTACGTTAGTCACAAACATATAAAACCCGTAATTTAATTGCCAGGTTGTGTTTGATCGTGCGAGAGGCCCTTGATAACAATAAGATACGTCGGACCATTGTGGTTTATAATATTCCAAGAAGACAAGAGATAGGTTTGTTATATAAATAAATATGACACGATACGTATAGATTGTTACATACAAACTACAATAAAAGAAAAGTAAATTTCATAGAACGTAGCATGTTCCCTAGCGTTTCCCACCTTGAAATTTATCGTAAATACCTTAAATCCACAATTCAATTACCAGATTATGTTTGATCGTGCAATAGGCTCTCGATAACAATAAGATACACCGGATCATCGTGCTTTGCAGTATTCCGAGAAAGTAAAAGGTAGGTTTGGCGGATAAGTAGGTTGGTAGGGATGCGTTGTGGAAAGGGTGGGTCGCCCCTGGCAGCGTGGTGGTGGTGGTCCAGCGAGCAGATTCCTGGGCTGATCGATGGAACGACCGGCGCATTGGATTTTCCGAGAGTAGCGCGCGCATTCCCATCCTTTCCAACAGCATTACGTTCGTTGTGTCTTTCAGTTACTCACGATCCTGCCGCGGTGGTGCATCCGCCGTACGGCGAGTGCATACCGAGCTACGCAGAACGATGCAACTGTGTCACTAGGCCGAGTGGCACGTGATCCTGTCCTTGCACGGTGCTGCTTTCATCTTCTTGCATCTTCCACGAAGTTCCGTACGAGTACATCGAAAATCGAATCTACGAAATCACCCGGCGATCCTTGATCCGTACGCGAACGAAAATCTCGAGAACCAAAATATCCTCGCTGAATTTCGTCCCTCGAATGTTTAGCCGAAACTCTAGTTAAGCGAAAGTGAAGGTACGTAAGACCCCGGCGAAGAACCCGTTCAACGATTCAATGGGAAATCGTTTGTCACAACAGTGACGGGAAATTGATTTATTGGGTGACAGGGTCAGGTGATCGACGCGTGTGTGCTCCGACATAAAAACACCGGCTGGTGTTAAGAAGTGAACCGAAGTGCGTTTACTATTGTTAGGCGAAACACGTGGCGACGGGAACGTTTAACTGATTGATCATCCTCGTCCGATCTTATGGTGGGATTTTCTTGTTCACCTTTCCTTCTTCGAATGCGCCTGCATCTCCGTTGTGTAATGTAAATGTTACGAATTATTGTAGATACTTATACTGGGAATATGGATAAACGACGATCCGTCGACGGGAACCTACAGGAACATGCTTTGCCCATTCCGGTTCAGATGTTCCTTTGGCAACAGTTGAGGTACTATTTTTGCTTGGAACGATGCATTCGATTTTGTGGTATCGGGTATTTTAAATAGTTTTCTTGGGGAAATCGTATATCCTGCTTAAAAGATTGTATATTCTTTTTCGAATTTCTGGATTTCCAGCTCGAGCGTTGTTGTTAATATGGACGTTTACGAAGATATACATATTTGAGATTCAATTTGTAGAAATTAGAGTCGTTCGAAAACTGTATTGGCGATGAAGGCATTGTCAGGTTTGAAACAAAATGAAAATGTTGCTTTTTAGAGGAATTGTAAATACGTAAAATCCGCAGTTCAGTTAAAGTAACAGCAAAACTAATTTGGTTATTTTCTTAATTCTACATTCGCGAGGTTGGTATGTAACGATACCTACTATATTAAAAGTACCCTTATGTGTCGCGAATTTTCAAGAATGTTTCGAGACTTCTATAATTGATGTCGTTAATTACTTACGTAATCATTGGCTGAAGAATAATTTTTTACGTGCAACCCGCGAGAGGATATAAATAGACCCCTTTTCAAATAGCAGGTTTTTCCTATATTTATCACATCTCTTTGATGTTTATTAAAAGTATTTCTAAAAAGTTTATCGATTAGAATATATCATGATTTTAGAGGTTAAATTGAAAATTAAAATGTAAAACGCTGGGAAACGTGATCAACGCTGTGTCACTTAAACTAAGATTTTATTTGATATTTATCTTGACATATGCAGTTAAATTTCAAGTAGAACAATGTTATCGGAAATAATTTCATATAGACTTCGAAAAACTACAACTAAGATGCATTTTAATAATTATCTATTCCGCATAATTAGTATATATATACGTAGTAATTTGCAATACAATTATATCTTTTATTCATTTTAAACGAAAACAGATTTATATATTAATCAATACATATATTGTACTGTCAGTTCTTTAGAGTCGATTTCATTGTTGTCTTTATATTTATAGGCCGTTTATACGTTCGAAATTAGGCAAGCTGCACGAGGCAATATGCACGGTAAGAACATACACTCATTCATGCATACATATTACCTCAGTTGCAAAAGAATGAAAAGAAATGAATGTGTGAGTGTATGGAGTATATGAAAAATAATATCTGTAGTGCATAATTTATTTTTATGGAGCAATTGAACTTTATTTTCAAATGTCTGAAGGAAATATGATTGCTTATATAAAAGCACTCGTGTTGTCTATAAAACTTCATAATACAAGAGCCAATGTTTCCAGAAATTTTTCGTTTCTTGAAAGTATATTTAACTTATCACACAAGATATATGTATTTAAATATATCTACATATATATTTACATATGATTTACAAGCTATATTACTAAGAACAACTGAAGTTTGCTTGGAGAGGTATGTCTTATTTTTACAAAAATATATCAACATTTTATACGAACTATTATATTACTCCAACAAATTTAAGTGGTATGAATGGTTACATTGTGAACAAATTTTTATGTAACACACTTAGCACAATCGACGTCAAATTATAAGAAGAAGTTTACAATCGTAATAAGGATTCTCTTCGACAAAAATAAAAGGAGATAAGTTTATAAACTGCAAAGCTTAAAATTATTGTGGTAAAAATGTTTTGTGTGGATGGTAAATTTGCGTTAATTTTTGTTTAAAGAACGTGTTCAAGCTTTTGCATTCATGAAATCTAATACCAGAATTATTTAACATTATCGAAATAAATAATTAGAAAAGCAAAGTTAAAATATAAAAAGAAATTAATTTAATTTTTAAATAATATTGATGATAACTTGACCATTTGATTTTAATTATATTTGCCCTTGGAATAACGTATAGATCGATTTAATATTAACATTTTACAAAATTATAATTAATTGTACACAATTTTAATATAACTGTTTCTTAGACAATGCACAAGGGTTAACTATTTGAAAATACACAAAGAGATTTCATGCTGTGCAAAATTCCTTACCAACTGTGTCCCATCAATCCATTGTTTTCCAATACCTACCCCACCTGCACTAACAAAGTAACCTCCTCTGCGCTGCCGCCTCCACGTGTCATCTGCAGTTCTGTCAACATACGCCAGGCCATCATGTAAGTCCGCTATGCTTGACACTTGCCTGTTCCCATGCTTGCAAATTTATTCTTCAATTATTCTGGGCAAATTAGAAATATTTTACTACTTGTAGAAAATATGATCTACCAATGCTTTTTTGCATGTTATGATAAGATTAATGAAACATGTAGAGTGTTTTCTTCATTTAGGTAAGGTAAACGTAAATATAAATATAAATATAAATATAAACATAAATATAAACATAAATATAAATATAAATATAAATATAAATATAAATATATATATGCTTAATATTTATACTAATTATTTTACTAAATATTTTCTATTGAATATGTATATTATATTTTATATAATTTAATATAATATTATATTAAACATATACATATATGTAATAATTAAATATATACAATATTTTATTACATATATGTATATATAATCTTACTTGATTAGTCGTTGCCTAATTAACCTTACATTAAAGAAGAAAGTGATTTTTCATGAAAATAAAAATTGGAAATGTTCAAGAAATTTCCTTCATATGATATAACGCTTCCGAAATAATCGAGTTAACAAATTTCAAGTACTCGTGTTACTGAGTAGAAGCCAGTTCATGCGCCTGTTTATGACTGATCGTTTCTACTTATAATTGTTGACGCACATCTATCGGACAAAGTTTCGAAATCGATTATCTTGGAAGCGAAGTATCTTATGATAAGCTTTACTTCTTTATATTTTTGACTTATTTTTTTATGTAAAATCACATCCTCTTAAATCTACATCATGATTTGGAAAACACCCAATGTAAACAAATGATACGATGAATTCTTATATTACTGTGAAAAACTAGTATTATTTTTCCTAGGAAATATTTATAATTTTTATTCTTAGTATTTATTTTTTAATTTCTTCAATTATATAAATATATTAACATTTTGCTGAATTTTCAACTAATAATGGTACGATCTTTTGTATTTTTTCCATATTTTACTATTAATAGGCTCTTCTGGATATAGGCATGGTTTTGAATGAAAACAATGAAACATTATAGATCAAAATAAAAGTTTCACAATTGTTTTAGCATCTGGCTTGGTAGTGATATGATATTATTACATACTTCCACTTCATTTATCATAGCAAATTGCACAATTTTTATATATATCAAATATACCTCGTTATAAAACGCCAGAAGTATGTTATACGCACATATTATACATCAGTTATTATATAATATATCTAGATGGAATGTTTATATTTCCTCATACGTAAATATTCCGGATACGAACTTCATGGCATGCACTACATAACAAAATTAGTAAAAAATTTAGAATAATATTTTCTCATAGGAGACTTCACTCCAGAGAAAATCAATGTATACAGTGCATCCATATGCATGCATTAACATTTGTCAGTAGAAATGGTAAATCATGGTCAGACATATCAGCCAAGATATTTCGATTCTTATTAAATACGTAGTACAGGCACTCGATAAATTTCCAAATGCGATTATCGCAAAAAGAAAACATTATATGAAAAATGTAATTCTATATTTTTTTACTTCTAATTAGTTTTTCTTATAGAATAATTGACTTTTTGATTGTACCACAATTTCAGAAACATCATACATATATATCGATCTATTGATCTTATTATGCAACAATATATGCCTGTAGTTTTGCATTTTACTATCGCTGCGAAATACTTTCTTTCCTCTTGCTCCTTTTTCTTATATTCTTACTACTGTAGAGTCTTTCTGCGACTACAATTTAGAAAATTGTGCGCTAATGATGATTATTTCAATTTCAATGCTTACGTAGGAGACAAAGGAAGCTTGTACGGTTAGTATTCTTTACATCCATACATTCAGACGTTTTTGAACTTGCGATTCTTAAAGGTGTTTATTAAACACATGTTTTTTTTTTATCAATGAATTTCTCTTCCACTTCAATTTCAATTATCCAGAAAAATGTGAAGTTAACATCATAAAACAATTTCAGTAATCATATAATCACAAGTTATGCGTACATGTTACTCAACTTCAAGGTTTAGTATTTCAAAAAGAATGACTTACATACTTATATTAATTAAAACATTATTATTTTGAACTTAAATTAATTTTATGTACAAAATTTGAGTCTACTAATGCCTAAAATAAATAAAAAACATTAATTATGTTATACATTGTATTTACATCTTTGCAATGAAGCATAAGAATACCGTAATTATTTGGAATCATAGTTATCTCACACATTTCAATGACGTTGAAATATTTTGTGAAGGTTATCATTCTGAACAACTCCTCCATGCCCCCAGTACCATATTTCATGGTCATCAAAATCGATGAGCTGACTGATTCCAAATAATTACCCGAAATACAATAACATATAGTAAATACCACGTGATAATTATTAAAATAGAACATTTGTACTTTTCATAATAGTGATGCAGATACAAAGTTTTTATCAATTCATAAAATCTTTTACAAAGGTCATTCCTTATACTTGAATATACTTTTATACTTTATATTCATTCTTTATGTAATATACTATACTAATGAAGTTATGTACCTGTATATTAGCAATTATCATTATTATGTTTTTTATTATATTCAGGGTGGTTTATGCAAGTTTTAAAAATCATAGCTTTGCTCTAGCAGAACTATTACTAAACAATATTAAGGGTGGCAATAAATAGTTTAGTAAGTATTATATTGGTAAAAACAGACATACTACTAAAACAATAATATAATTGATAAATTCAGACTTATGTAATATAGTATTCGTATTATAATATAGTACAAATATAGTATTCTATATAAATCATTCAACGTTTTTCCTTAATACTTTTTCTAATCATATTCCAACGTTTCTATGGACCACCTTGTATACAATACTTCATAACATACGTTCTTCCAATATACTATTTAACTGAAAATTCATTAACAGTCTCACTAAGATTTTCTTGATTTATTAATAATATTTCTCAAATCTCTCCGCTTTATTTTGACAGTCTCTCGAAAAGGTGTTGGTTCAAAATCTTCTCAATGATTTGACACCCAGCTTAAATCAGATATTGCGCACTGTGCCACGCTGGCATTTGATTCAAGCCGCTCTTCCCTACGTCCTCCATGCCACAGCTAATCATCTTCACAATAGGTAAGAATTTGGGTTTGTTGTGCTTTCCACTGGGTTGGCAAGAGAACTTTCATCCCTTTTCTCGTTAAATGTGGTATTACAATTCCGAAAAACATTAATTGCTTACATCTACAGTAATTCGGGGAGAGATGAATTATTTCTTTTCTCAGATAAACATGTAATTCTTCTTTCTTTCACTTTGGTTTTTCACTAAAATATACCCTAGCTGCATTCGCCTTGCGCTTAGCGAATACACACTTCATTTTTTTATTTTATCGCGCAGAACGAGAGATTTTTCAAACAATTAATGATTCCACAGTTAAGAAGTTAAAAGAATTATTATATCATAAATGTCATTGATATCTAACAAAAGAAATTGTCAATAACCGGAGAAAAATTGTTGTCCGACCTAGCGCATATGAAATGTTTTGTGTCTTTCTTGTAAATCGGTTCTATTAATCTTCAAGGAAAGATTTTCAAACTCTCGGCGCTTTGGAGACAACTCTTCTCTACATTCTTCACTGGATACTTCTCGATGCTGCTGAAGAATGTGCTGACAATGAGGCCGACACTGGGAATCCGTTTTATTACTTATTTTCTATACCCACCATGACAGTAAGTAGTGTTATTTATAAACTAATTCGTGAAGATTATAGTTGTCAAAAATAATTTTATTACAATACAATCATCATTTTCCATTTGTTTATTAACATATCAAATATTCATTACCTATAACCAAAATAACATTAATGAGTCTTAATGAAAATATAATTATTACATTTTACCGTGTTTTTAAAAAATGTTCAATTTTTTTGATACTGTATATATTCAATTAATTTTTTACTTCTCTCAGTTTTTCTATATTCTTATAAAGTTCTGTGTAAAATTAATATTTTCCTATCTTACGATTTGATTTAAGCGAACACGATATTCTATTTTATTTCAGTTAGTATGTACTTTATTGGTTTATTATTTATTACCAAATTATTTATTACGTTACAAATAAGTATGTAATTTACAGGTAATCAGTAAATTTTCATCGGGTTTTCATTTTTGTACAGCTATTCGTCTATCTCTTTGCACCACTGTGCAATCATTTGAAAGATATCGATTTTAAAACAAACTTACGGTTGGAGAATGGCTTGAAAATATGGACGGCCTTATGCGAGTGTCGACACCCAGATACACCTTGCTTTACCACTCATTGCCGAATTAAGCCACAAGCTCTGTGGAATCGGTCTTTCAAATCTTCCAAGCAACATCAGATCTCTGACGATGTATTTGTGGGAGGAAGTAAGTTAAACTTACATGAAATTATACTACTCAACGAATTTCTTAGTTTTTTATATACCTTTTTACTTGTATCTTTTCATATTAATTTTTTTTTGTATGAAATGTGATATCTAATAGCAGAATGTATAGATTGGTAATGATACAATGTAAAAGCCAGGAAGGAGTTTATTCTATTTGAGAAAAAGAAAAATTTAATATGAAAGATTTTAGTCCTCATTTTATTTCTTATTTTGAAGAAAATCGATTTTGAAAATTTATTATATTTATTATTAAGTTCGGGTGATGAAGATTTTCGAATTTATATTTTATGCGCGAATTTGTAAGAAAATGACGTATTAGTTATAGAAATACAGGATATATGTTGAGCATTGTAATTACTCTTTTTAAAATTAAACGGTCATTGTGAAATTTATATTTTTCAAACGAATCTGTTCTACAATTTTTAGATGTTGAAAGTCCACCCAGTGAATCGGTTAGTCAGTTTTCGGACCAAAGTGTTGAAAAAACTCTATCAACAAAACAACCAGATGATGATGTAAGTAAATCAGAAATCCTACTATTTCTTTATTTCTCGTAATAATGCAGTAGGAATTGATAATTGCGAAACAGTAAGAACAACATGAAACAATAACAACACAACAGAACATAATCATTTCTAAAAACGGAAACTCAGAGGAATATTAAAACGTCAGACAAATCAATTATGTCATAACCGAAAATTGTACCCAGAAATACATCTTTGAATATTCTCTTATTTACAATGTAGTGTATCATTTTCTAAAATGAAATAAATACTAAATCATTTAAAGTAATGTGTCACTGAAACTCATTTAACATTTAACTTAAGTTAAAATGTTGGTACTTGTTTAATATTTGAAGATTCATTATCAATCTCAGAATAAAATATTTTATTGCATAATATTCGTAATTTTCTTTCCAGAACACTTGGGTATCGTCACCGAAGGAGACTATATTTCCCGAAACTATTCCCGAAGAAAGTTCTGGTGCAGAGGATGAGCATGTGGTAAGTATTCGAGATAAACGATTTACAATCGACATGAAACACGTTGATCGATGAAGTAATAGAATATTTCTATCAGGTTATCTTCAGATTGCCATCGCTCAGTGAATCGGAAAAAGCACTCGACGGGGTAAAAAACAATTATAATTATGATATATATTTTGATATTTAATTATTACATAATGTTGATTTCTCTGTCGCGCGACAATTGTAACTTTTTCCTCGGTGTGAGTGGTTCCCCTGCTCCAATTATTGTTGTGTTGATTTTCATTGTATTTTAGTCATGCAATTTTTACATCACTTTAGGGTCAGACCAATATATTTCATGTAGCTATGGGTCAAACGAATGATTTCTCCAAATCAACATTAACGATAGAACAAGTCACGGCGATTTCGGGACTGGACACCTGCAAACAGTTTCAAGAAAAATCTATAAGCATAGGGTAAGTAGTTTATTTCTATCTTTAAACTCCTTTCATTTAGTAACGGGAAAATATGAGTTTATGAGATCGTTGCATCTTGAGATATAATCTAAGAATCCAAATGATTGAGTCTGTCGATAAACGAAACTTTGAACAATACAAATCACGAGAAATATTGACTCGATTAATCGAGGTTTTCCTGTATAAATACAATTTAAAAGACGCAAAGACTTTGTTTACGAGTTGATAAATAACCATTATTCGTTTAACAGAATTGCAGATAGAGATAAAGAAAAGACAGATAAGCATCATAAATCGGAGAAAGAAGCTCAAGATACGTCGAAAACGAAAGTATCGGGGACACAAAAAGTAGGTCCCAGTGATTCTAGTGCCGCAGGACTCACATGTAGTGTTGCCATTGATACGGACATCCGAGCTGCCACTTTTCTTGACGTAGCTGTTCTGAGGTGCCTTTTTGTTCCTCAATGGCAGGAGGAAGGAGTCCATTGGGCTCTACAATTTTTATATCATCGGTAATTATATTCGATCAATTATTTTTCTGTTTCTTATATCGTTTATTTTAACACTAGAACTACCGTACCAGTAAAAATGACTGGTTTCGGTTTCCTTGTTTCGCAATGATTGACATCTTAAATGCATTGAATATTTGAAACAATTTTGAAAATATCACTTGAATTTTATAACAAATATCGAAAGAAACTGAAAATAATCTATTGTTACAATTTTTATAGGGATTACATATCAATCATATTAGACGCTCGGTAGTTGTAGTGTTGAATTTAATTCGCAAAATAATTTAATGAATTATGATGAAATAATTGGTCAAATAATTGGTGTAAAATAAAAGTAAATAAGTCAAATGATTTGTCCTGGTGGAAAAAGAAACAACAGGAAAGAAAAAATTGAAAAACTGATTAAACCAACAATATAAGAATTGACATAAAGTTAATTTAAATGAAATTTTAATACTGGTCATATGGCCAGTCGCGGTACGTTTAGTGTTAATTATTATGACTCGCCAAGAAAAATTGAAATTTTAGAAACCAATAGTTATTGGAATTATGTTCTGCATTATTTTTGTATTTTTACGAAATTCGTAATAAGTTGAAACTAGAAACTTATTATTAAAACTGAAAAGTTCAACTTCTAAAATATAACATTACTTTGTACTTTTCAATTCTTGTCAAATCGTTGAGAGTTAACTATATTAACCGATACATCAAATTTATGTTTTACAATAAATAAATGAGCACACGTTATAGTATTCTCATAGGTTTTGGAATTCAAATAAATTACTTAACTTAAGAAATGTATTGAATTGATCAATTTATGCAGAAAATATACTGACCACACTTCTTCAATCACGAAAAACTATTTGCAATAGAAACAAACTGTTGCTTGTAAACTTTTTGTAAAAAGTTTTTCATTTCAAACGTTCCAAACAATTTAATACTGACTATCTACTTACGTTTTTCTTTTATTATATTATTACGTCGTTTTATGAATGAATTAATTTTCATCGTGAGGTCATAAGTAAAAATTGTTTCTCTTAAAGAATTACTGAATTTCTATGACAAAAGTTATTTATACAAACGATCTAACGAAATCAAATTTTACTGTATAAAACTGTTTAAAAGATAATAAAGCTAAATTCTTTTGTGACATTGTTGACATTATTTACATTGCATATTTTTTGATAAAATGTTTGCAGATTACGTATGATCAACGAAGAAACATCAGTCCAACAGATGCCACGTCGTCGTAGCAATTCCTTACCCATTCCAAAAATTGAGGTATCGATTTACCAGAGTCCTGAAAGTAAAAAGAAAGATGTGCCTAAAGATTTGATGGAAATACCAGAGGTTCGAGAAGTGTCTGTATTAACCGGTATGTATAAATATAAGTTTCTTTGATGCATCGAAACAAACAGTTCCTTTTGTTTTACGTAAAAATTTCATAGGTCATGAAAACGAGTCAAATCACACGAGACGAGCCAGTGAAAAGAAGAAAAGAATGAAAATGGCTGATCTAAAGGCATTTGTTGAAACAAAATTGTTATCCAAGTCAGAGAAGGCACTTGAGAAAATTGGTCAAGAGGAGCCGAAAATGCTGTTTGAACAGGTGATTAATCAGATTACTGATATTACTATTTGAATGCTTTTGTGATAATTGTGAATGAAGAATTTTATTCTATATTTATATCTCATGTTTCGTAGACAACGAATAATGGTCTAACATTTATATTTCCTTTTTCTTAAAAGTACTATGTTCTTAAAATCACGTATTTATAATTTAAGCAAATATTATTTATATTCTTTCAATTTCTAATATAGTATTAAACACATATCTATTAGTATAATCTAATGCAATTTTCGCACACGTTTACAGAGTGGGCTAAATAAAGAGAATTGTTCCCCTTAAATTAAGTGAGATATAAGATAATCATTTGATTCGCGGAATATTTTTATAGAGTGATTGCTAAGATTGTAAACGAAACCCTCTAATTTTTCTTTAATAGAATGATATATTTATTGTTTTTATTTGGATTACTATTGTCGAACTAAATACCATTTATTTGAAGCACATTTTTATATTGCATACTTAAAAAGTTATGGAGAAAAAACTTGACCTAAAAGAAAGTTTCTAGAAATCTCAAAAAACTTTAAACAAATGTGAATTAATCACATACATATATTATTTCAAACATTTAATAAACTTACTCAAAGAACTGATCCGCAAGCAAAACGTATTCTTATTTCTAGATCGTCTATTGTTCTGGGAATAATAATAATTTTTAATCTACTTCATTTATTTCTTAATTTAATTTCCAATTTTTTGTACGTATAAATGGCAACATGGATGAACATTTCAACCATATTGTCCTCTTCACGTTTAATAGAATATTTTGCAAGCATTGCAAATTATTGAAAGAAAATATTTTTAAACAGATTCGGAATAGCTTAGAATACAATAATTGTCTCTGTAATTCTTTAACTACGACAACACTGGAAAAAATGGTTCAAATAAATGTTTTTCAGTTTAATAAGAGAGGTTCAAGTAGAAATAAAGATTAATATGCCGTTCTATATTAAAATCTAGGGTATTTTTATTCTCTTAAGAATCAGATTAGAAAAATTTATTTCACAGTAACTAATTAATAATAATCAGTGTTATTTAATGTAAGATAAATAAAGCCAATATTTGCTATGATTTTGGGGAAAATGGTTTCTAATACTTTATTTAGCACATTCGGTCTATTATAAATCTCGTAATATCATATCATATAAATACTTTCGCAATTGACGTGGCAAGTTCTCTAAATCAACTTCTTAACCAGATATAAGAAAATTACGACCTATTTGTTTTGGAGAAATTATTGTACTCTACCTAGAGGAAAAATATTATCTAATTACGACACGTAATTTTTTATCATCGTTGTACGCGAATACATAATTTGCAAGGACGCTGAGCCAGTATGAATATTAACTCTTTTAATAGAGAGTTTGTCTGCGCACAATCTCAAGTTTTTGTTTTGAGAAATATTATCTAGGAAACTGTTACAAATTTTAAGAATACAAGTGACGATAAATGATTCCTTTCATATATTTTAAAAGAGAGAAGTAATAAATTATTATCACTCTTCAATTATTAATCCATTATTTTATGTCGTATTTTGTTCTATAATTATGTGAAGTAAGCTTTTAAAATATTTATGAATCATAGTAATTTATGATAAGATTTTGCAATGTCACTTCTATAAAATATTTTTAATGCGACCAGTTTTCTTATGCGTGGTTGTTTAACATTCACTGAATTCTAATTAAAAGTTGATTTATATGATAAATATTTAATTAATACGTATTAACATCTTCCGTATCATTTAAGGGGGCTTGGTTAGGTGTGCTCTTTCACGGCACTCTTCGGAATTTTTTTTAAAGGACTGAACGAACATGTACGTTTGAATTTCCTATATGAGTCTCTAATAATATTTTTCGCTGATTTGAATGATCTTGAAATATATTGTCACTATCATCATTCCAAACATCTTTTCAAATTACTAGACAGCCTATACATGTTATCATTGCTCAGCCTTAATTTCGAAATATTTGTAAAAATATTTCTGTCATTCTATATCGTATCTTTAATGTATGGGATACCTTTGCGATGGTTCATATAAAGGTTTGAGTTATGTTCTCGAGAAGAGGTTGTAAGTCTGCACCACAACAATATTTTTGCTGATATCTCGAAACTAAGACCGACCGGTTGTAACACATCTATAAAGAAAATTTGTTCAGTATGACGCTAATGGCAACATATTTCAAGATCATTCAAATCAGTGAGAAATATTTGAAGTAGACAATTACCGCACTTCGGTGTCATTTCTTCAGAAAACCATTGAGTTACCACCCATAGTACTTCTTGCACTTTTCATCCCCTCGCCAAGTAGAATTCAATGCAATAATAATATGATTTGACCTTGGACTTCAAGTTCAAGGTCAACCTCGCACCAATTTAGTTTTACAAATGTTCTCTGATGTAGAGGTGTAGAATCAGACGATAGCGAATTTTACACTTACTTTTCGTACACCCCGTTGTTTCCAAGAAAACCAAAGATGATGTTGGGAAACATTCTTTTAGTTTAAACCTGTATTTTGGAAAAATACATTTTTAGTTTCATGAAGCCTTTTAAGACAAATGGGCAGGTATTTGTAGCAGTTATCTTAATCTGCCGCGTCAAGTTCATATGAACTTTCTACTTTGTAAAGTGAATTAAGAAGTATCGGTTTTTTTCTTAACGGGAGAGGATTTTATTGAAAATATGTATCTACATACGAAATCATCCAAGATTGGTATGATCGATAATACCTTAATATTTGCGTCAGTCTCTTTTCATCACACAGAGATGAGGATTTATATCCGACACAAATACAAAATCCATAATAGAATCAAATTTTGTAATATTGCATAATATTATGCACTTTACTTTTACCTAACTTTTTTGCAAATTTCAGGTTTTCTTGAAAAATTCAGAAAAATTATAATTCTTGAAAAAACGGTTTGTTCCTAATAAAGTTTTATTATTTTCGAGAATCGACGTAGGGAAAGATCAAAGGTTATGACGCACGGTCAACTGTTTGATTTAAATATTCGTTCTTATAATAAAATAATATTTCGAATTTTATAATCTTCCAAGAATCTTTTTATACTTTACAACAACATTTTATATTTTATTCACTGTAGTTTCTTGTATTTGTACTTTATTACACCTACTTACATTCTTTCCAAGAAAACCAATGATTTGACCGTATAGTTTCTCCTAAAGTAAGATTATTTTTCAAAACACTGCTTCGAATTCAGAACAAATACTTTATGTCATAATTAAAAAGTAATGTGTACTCATAAGAAGACATAAGAGATAGAAAACGTGAGGTAAGAAATAAGTAAAGCGCATAAAATTATATAACATGAGGAAGTTTGATTTTTTCATTTTCGGACATGAGTTAGGCATAAATCGACACGTTTTTTTCATCAAAGAATACAGACTAGTAGATTTCACAAAATATATACTTTAACCCCTCTCCTCTTTAATCTCGCAGTCCAATAAAAAGGTTATTGCATGTAATCGATGTCAATTGTAACAGTCTATTTAGTGTAAATGCACTATATGCCATCGTTCCGGCGGTTCATCAAATATCAATTTTTCATACATCGATTTAATAACTTCAAGTCCATATCACGTAGCGTCGATTTTTTCCTATGTGTATTATCCTTGAAGTTTCATTAATCAACTTATATTGCATGCGCGTGCACTTTTCTGCTACATGATTTAACGCATGAATTTTTATGAAACTTAAAAATATTTCTGCCAGCTTTATGCAAATAACCGGTTTATTCATTGAAGATATAAGTACAGACTAAACTCCACGTACATCTCCGTAAAATAAGTTTGAGTAACGCATTTAAAAAATTCAAATTTGAAATGTAAATTTTGGAATATACATTCTTTTAATGAACAGAAAATTGATTAATAGATATAACGATAAAAAGAGCCGACTTATATTAACTAGTCCAATAAGATGTTATATCTACACGTCGTTGTTGTTAGCGGGTTTTTTAAACCCTTTTAAAATTAAAATTTTGAAAATAGTACGAAATGAAGTTGTAACATTAAAAAGCAAATATAATTCTAACATATTTCTCTACCCGTTTTCCCCTGCATTTATAAAAGCAACTGTTAACAATATATTTTTGAACCTCGAATCATCTTATAAATTGAACGTGATAATTGAATAGAATGAAATCTAATTAAACGGAATTCTATTTTCACTTACAAATTATAAGATCTCCTTTCCAATCGTTTAAAAAGTTAGTCGGTCAACCATGACAATAGCAAATATTGAAATCTATTTGTAAGATTGAAATAATATTTGAAATTCAGTGGTAAATATTTGCAATACAGTATGACCTCCTTATAATCGCACTGCTCAGGACTGATAACACAATCGTAGAGAGCAGCACTATGATTCTGCGATCGTTTCATTGGCTGACGGCTCGTTTTGTTCATTTCGTTCATTCTTTGCCCCCGTCTAGAACACTGAAAATGGGTATCATGAGGAAAATAAAAGTATCAATTGTCAAGAAAAATCCACAAAGCAGGATTATAGGGAGACACGCTGTATTTTTTTTTGTTACGTTCGAGCAAATATAATTCAATGTATAATTTTCATCTCAGGATACCCATAGAAGTCTTGATACAGGGGATGATCATTTAACGAGACCCACATCGACAGCTTCGAAAATCTTCGAAGCAAAGGATGTTGATCACATTAAACACCCTACCAATTTAGTAAAAGGAAAGAGCATGCCGAGCTTAAGGTACGTATGTCAGTTTACGGATAGAATACGATACACACTGAAATACTTCTCTTCATAGAACTTTTCTCTTTTTCATTTGAGTTTTCTCTTGTTCGTTCGTACCTACATACGCGCGTCTTCTTGCAGTTTTATTTCTCGCTGGCCAATTAATCTTCTAACATTGTGTTAGTTTATTTGTCACTATGATTTTCTGCGACCGTGAGGTATTCAAGACAGTCCTAAACTGATTTCTAAGTAATTCTGCAAAGTGGTACACACATATATATATATATAATAGTAGCAAAGTGAACTATCATCATATGTTTAAAGAAAACAGTTTCAAAATTCGAAAGAATTCTGACATTTTAAATAAATTTTAAATTTCATGAAATTATTTTTCTTCTTGTAACTGTGTCTGATCGTTTTTGGTACCCATTCGCATTTGCAATAACTTCTAGCTGTGGAATTAAGTGCTAATAAAATTAATAATTAATTTTTAAATCGCCTTTTTCATAAATTTTTAATTCTGTATGTTAACACTTGGAAATATTTTTTTTGTATGTATCTCTATCATTTTGGTTGATTTCATTGAAATCTGCGTAGGACGGTTTTGAATTTTGGAAATTCCGCAAGTTTACTTTTGGCTATCATCACAAAGCGTCTAAAGATTCCAGTAATAAAAGATCTGCTGAGAATTCGTGTGTATGTACGTGCGCATGGATTTTTGGTAGAACCGTATATGGTTTTAAGGAAAAATTAAAATAAGTCCATATAACAAAAGACGTAGTATGCTTAAGCTGTATGCAATCAAGAATAAGCGTTCCAGTAGATCAATAATATTACTTTTTAATCGTAGTACATAATCAGTGTTGGGTAGCAGTGGAATTAACAATCTGTATATATTTTTATATAAAAATGGCATTTTGCATTTATTTTTACCAAAAACTCTGTGAAAATTTCCTATTGAACTTTAGTTAGCTAAAAATTCTGCATTATTATGTATTATTGTATATAGTTATGTGAATTATCACATGAAACAAATATATATCGATATTAGTAATATAATTTCAATATATTTTAAAAATCTTGTTAATTTTCTATTAAATATTTTTTAAATGTTGATAAAATAATAAAAATTATAGGATAATCGGTGCATTAGAATATTCAACGCATTATCACATCGATTAATTTATTTGTACACGTTTATACAC